CACCCGTCACAGACTTCTCACACGCGGGCGGGGCAGGCCTGCGGCGGCAAAGGGGCAAGTTGGACACCCGAACTTGGGCAAGTCTGGGAAGCGAGCCCGACGCAGCTGAACGTGGTCACGTCCAACAGCTGCCCAAGCCGCCCCATGGTCTAGGTACAGCCGGCCTTGGCCGAGACCCCAGGAGCTAAGCCCGCGCCTCCCCGCGCCTTCGCCTCACCCACTTCGGGCATGCGCTGTAGCCGCTTCGGGGAACATCGCCTTGCCTACAAAGGCAGACACTGCTGGCATCCGGGCCGGCTGCGTCTGCACTGCTTATCCGAATATTGGAAGCTTACGTCCTTGAGTTTGGGGACGCCCTTAATGATGAAAAATGAAATCGTCACCAGGGTAGTAATACAAAAATGAAACAAGTGAATTTAGACCCAGTAAGTCTATTTCAAGCATAATAATTGAATGCTTGTTTGATCTATGAAGAATTTATGACTGTATTATGGATTTTTTCCTTTTTTTTATAGGGAGGTGAGTATATTATGTTATTGGAAGGGAATTTTGTGACTTGGGAAATTATTTAAAACAACATTGTTTAGTACCTATAATGTGCTAGACTGCTGGCTGCTAGCGATGTCAAGTTAAACGTAGTCTTCTGCTATTAAGCTCTCGTAATTATTGTCATAACACCACTTACATTGTGAAAATATCTATTCTCGCACCCTTGTATTTAAAGTGTGTGCATTTAGAAAGCAAAAGTCTTGTTAGTATTAAAAATCTGAGTCGTGGCTGATTTCCCTTTTTTTTTTTTTTTTTTTTTTTTTGAGTCAGGGTCTCCATTTGTTGCCCAGGCTGGAGTACAGTGGCGCAATCTTTGCTCGCTGCAACCTCTGCCTCTCTAAGCGATTTTCCGTCCTCTCCAGAGTAGCTGGGATTACAGGCACGCACCACCATGACCGCTAATTTTTGTATTTTTATTAGAGACGGGGTTTTGCCATGTTGGCCAGGCTGGTCTTCAACTCCTGACCTTAGGGGATCCACCTGCCTCGGCCTCCCAAAGTGCTGGGATTACAGGCATGAGCCATCCATGCCTGGCCTGATTTCATGTTTTATTTGAAATTAACTTATTTGCTTGGGTTAACAGTAACTGATAATTACATAATATTTATCAATTTTTTTCAGTTAATAGCTGACAGTGTAAGAAGAGGAGCCAGGTTCATTTCAGACACAGTAAACAATTGTGTTTAACCCCCAAGAGTACTTAAAAAAAAACTCACATTAAATTTCAAAATACGTGCCATCTAATTAAGTAGTTAACTAAGAACCAAATCTGTGAAGTAGAACTAAATAGTAGTGGCCTTCTTGTACTAGATCACATCCATATATGGTCTTTATGCTGAAATTTATTATGTACCTACTTTGTTTTTGTCTCAGTCTGTTCTGCATAGGTAAATGATTGGATTATCTTACCAAGCTTCCTGGCCAATATCAATGTTACCAGACTATTGAGTACAATTATTAATAATAAAAGCTAATGTTTTTGTGGTTTGCACAGTGGCATTTTGACTCTGCTTAGACAAAATTATAAACTGGTCTTTTTTTTTTTTTCTTTTGGCCTTGCTTCCTCACAGTCACAGAGTGACCTTCTCTGATTAGTTAGTGTTCTACAGGACAATAATAGCCTAGCTATTAGCTATGAATGTCAAGCTATCTCCCAACACTGGAGTATAGCTGTGTCAGGTCAGTTCCTGGATGTTAGGGATTATTTTCTCGTGACTATTAGATCTGGCTAAAAATGCATATTAAATAGTAGTGTCAGTGAACTGACCCTTCAAATGAATATTTTCCCTTCTTTTTTTTCACTGACCAATTATTGATGTTGTTCTTGATGTCCATAAAAGTTATTGTTGATGTTGTTATTGATGTCCATAAAAGTTATTCTAGCTTAGGACCAAAATAATTTAGAGGAGTTAATGTAATTAAAATACAGTAGTTCTTACTTATTTGCAGTAGGCAGTTTCAGTTACCTAGGGTTCAATGTGATCTTGAGACAGGAGAATAGGGTCTGGAGGCAGGGAACCTAAGGCTTATTCGTGCTGACTTCCTATAGCTAAATCAAAAAGAAAATCCCAAACTTTCCACACCTAAGTAACAAAAGGACCAGAAGCTACTCCCTTTGCAAACCCCTCTTTTCTTCTGCATGGCATACAGAAAATTGAAGTTTGCATAGGAGTGTAACTTTGTAACTTCACTTCAGCCTCTAATTGGTTGCTTTCCACAACCAATCAGACTGACTGTGGGCTACTACTTCATTTACGTAGGGTGTACACCAAGTAACCAATGGGAAACATATAGAGGGTATTTAAACCCTAGAAAATTCTGTAAGGAGGCTCTTGAGTGCCTGTGCTCCTGCGGCTCCCACCCTGTGAAACCTACTTTTGTTTTCAATAAATCTCTGCTTTTGTTGCTTCATTCTTTCCTTGCTTTGCGTGTTCTGTCCAATTCTTTGCTCAAAACTCCAAGAACCTGGACACCTTCTACTGGTAACAATTTGAAAATATTAAAAAGAAAATTCCAGAAATATTCATAAGTTTTAAATTGCATTCCATTCAAAGTAGCATGATGAAATCTCATGCCATCCAGCTCCATCCCACCTGGGATATGAGTCCCCCATTTATCCAGCATACCCATACAACAGACACTACTCTTTCATTAGTCATTTAGGAGCTATCACAGTTACCAGATGGACTGTTGCAGTATCACTGTGCCCTTACTTTACTTTTATTACAATATATTGTTATGATCGTTCTATTTTATTAGGTTTTCCTGCTAATTTCTTACTGTGCCAAATTTATAAATTAAGCTTTATCATAGGTATATAGGTATTGGCAAGTATGTATAGAGTTTGGTATTATCCATGGTTTCAAGCCTCCACTGAGGGTCTTGGAATGTATCCCCAAGGATAAGTGGGGGGGACTATTGTATACTTTTTAAAAAATCATGATTTTGCTGTTATAATTTTTATAGACTATCAATCTTAAAAATTTCAGCAAAGTCTTTATTTTTCTATTTACCTTAAAAGCCGTTTTCTGGCAATAGGAAATTTCTGGTTAGGCTTTTCCTAAACTATATATTTTAACTTAATAGTAGTTATTTTTTGTTATTAGTAGGCATCCCTACCAAAGATACCTCTGATCAAATTTAAGGGTGAGAAATGTTGTCTCCACATAGGATAGAGTATATTATTAATGGCTCTAAGAAGTTAAGAGACAAGCACATTTTAAAAAATGGTTCGGATAGTTGTCTTCACCAGATTTCTTTCCTGTAGAAAACTTGCAATTTTCTACAGGAAAGAAATCGACTTACTATGGCAATCATAGAATAAACTGAAAGCTGATTGTTCCACTGATCTTTACATTTCACAATATAAATACCTATTTAAGTGCTCTTTGATATAAAGTTTGTTTCTCGGGTAGACATTTATATTCAAAACCAATCACAAAAATTATCCTTATAGCAAAAAGCACTTACTGTGTGCTAGGAAGTTATCACATTTTATTTACAATCCTTTTGAATCTTATCCAAAGGGATTGGTTTAGATTTTCTGAAATGTGCTAGTATTTGAGTGGTTTGAGTGCTAAGACACATACACCACAGTCTCTGCCTTGAAGGAGTATAGCAGATGAAAATGGACATGTAAACAATTACATTATAATAAGATGATCACTTTATCCAAGTTATATATAAACTTGGATAAAGCCATCAAGGATAAAGGACTTGGATAAAGGACTCAAGGAGAAAAGCACTTATGTCACTTTGGTATGTTTAGGGATGGTGTCACATGAGAGGGGAGCATCCAAGATAAGAACTGAAATGACAGAGTTTGCTCAGCGACTAAGCTAAAGGAAGGGCAGTTTGTAAAGGTTTGTTTGGTGGTTAAGAAGAACATGAAAATAGGAAGTCTAAGAAAATGGAGAATAGTTAAAAATAACACATTTTGGAGTGTTTGCTAAATAAAAAAACTGAAAATTCACCTGAGAAATAGGCACAAACCTCATTAAAAATTTTTTAATATAAAAATAGAGGTGAAGTCTCACTGTGTTGTCCAGGTTGGTCTCAAACTCCTGGCTATAAGTGTTCCTACTGCTTCGGCTTCCCAAAGTGTTGGGATTACAGGTGTGAGCCACTGCACCCAAACAATATGGGCCTTCTTGACAATAAACCCAAATATTTTGTTTTTTTAAATATTTGTAGCACAGATTTTAAAAACTAGTGAGCAATTTGAAGATAGATTTGTGGTATTAGATTGAGCTCATTCTAAAACGGCCTTAGGGAAAGAGTAAGGGAGAAGTGAGGGCAGGAATAAACAAATGGAATATTATTTTCTAGTAGGCTTGAGGACAGACACTATGTCTGGCACATCGTAGTTTGATCAGCTTCTCTTAGGAAGATAGTATTTTTTGAATTACAGTATTTTAATCAAAAAAATAAAGTATCATAATCTTCTTTCCCGTTTGTTAGTAAAATATAGCCTTGACAATTATGTCTGCATTTTTTTTTTTTTTTTTTAAAGACAGGGTTGTGCTCTGTTGCCCAGGCTGAAGTGCAGTGGTACAATCATAGTTCACTACAGTCTTGAACTCCTGGGCTCAAGCAATCCTTCTGCCTTAGCCTCCCAAGTAGCTAGGGGACTATAATTTTTATTTTATTATTTTTGTAGAGATGGTGTCTCGCTATGTTGCTCAAGCTGATTTTGAACTCCTTGCCTTAAGTGATCCTCCCACCTTAGCCCCATAACATGCTGGGATTACAGGCATGAACCCTGCACCTAGCCTGCAAATACATTTTTGTGTGAGCCTCAAATTATGGTCAGGATAGAGATAGACTCTTACCATTTTTACAGCCCTTCGTATATCTTGTCTAGATTGCCTAACCAGTATCTAAAACAGTGCATATAAACTATAATGTATATTTAGATATAACTTGAGCAACAAAAATGAAAATAATTCCTCTTCAAGGCTTTACATGATCTTTATTTGGTTTACAGTTTGCTTCAATTTAGGGAGAAGGACTTCACAGAAGTCTTTTAGGGGGTCAATTTAAAAGAACTTTCACAGAAATATTTATGTACATTTTTTAGAAATAACAGGCATGACAGTAATTTCCTTGGGGAAAAATGTTTAATATCACCATACTCAGAATACATTTTTGTGAATATGCAGTTGTTTAGTATACACTACAAAATCCTAATTTTAGAAAGTTTCCAACTGTCTAAATATCAGAAGAATCCAAAATTTTGGTACAAAGATGAACCATTTCCTATATAGCAAAATTAAATCTACCCGTATTCTAACATTGAGAAGTGAGATAAAACACAACATTATAAATCCTACCTAGAAAAGATCAAGTGACCTCAAAGACTTTACTATTTTCATGTTTTAAGACACATGATTTGCCCTATTTTAGTAACCTGGTTCATATGTTAAATAAAGAATAATCTGAACAGCAGAGAGGATTTGTAGGCAGGAGACCTATGTTCAATCTAGAACTGTCTAGATCACAGACATTTCTATTCCTTGTGCAAGTTGGCATATAGTAAATGCCGGAATGAATAAATAAATTACATTAACAAAGATGTCTTCATGTGCAAATCAGAGATAATATCACCTACTACACAGAATGTTTTTAAGGAAAAAGAGAACAAATAAGTACTGAAGTGCTTTATAAGATTCTGAGTTATGTAAAAAATCTGTGTTAATAGGTTTGTTATTTTACAAAAAATTTCAAATTTCAAATGAACTCCAGTACTGGGTTTTGATATAGTATTTTATTTAGAGCTATGTTTTACTTTTAACAAAGATACCATTAATAACAAATGTATTCAGTGTTCATTTTAAATAGTAAAAATGTTGTCTTATAGCCATTAAATAAAAAAACATAATTCAGGTCAAATGCTAATGTCCTTGTACCTCCTTTGCTAAGTCAACATAAGGAAGAATCTGTTTTGTTTCAAAACAAAAGCATTTGATTATAGAAAGTTCTACAGTTTACAGTTTTTATTGAATTTCAATTCAACAGCATTTATCAAAGGACTTTATTTCTTTTATGGCATATAACATACTATATTATAAATATTACTTATTTCTCTCAGGAGATAGAGCAACTTGAGGGCAGAAAATTATGTCATATTCCTTTTTATATCAAGTACCCAGCCTTTGGCTGGTTCTTTGTAGAGGTTGGTGCCCAGTAGGCAGAGAACAAATGAACAGATCTGTGCTGTGACTAGCAGAGGAAAAAAAGCTATTATAATTTCAGTTAGTTTTATGGTCAGAGTGATAAAAAAAAATCTATCAAACTGAAAGCAGGATTTTAATAGACTCCTTTTAGGTTATTCTCTGTGAATGAAGCTAGTTTTAAGGTAGACAAATGTATGGTAATAAAACAATTTGATGGAACGAGTTTGGAGCAAGTTATCAAGACAGTAACATGAAAACGACAGAGAAAACAGAATAGTTTACAATTACTGAGTAGTAGTTTATTTAATACTGTCACGTAATAATGAATGAAGATGAAGTAACCTTGTCAAAAGGTTGTTGTATTTTACAGTATTTTATTTTTATGATTTAAAAAATCTTATCAAAATTTCAAGATATTATTATAGATGGGAACTGGGCTACATAAATAAGTGTTCTGTAGCAGGGGTGAAGGGTGAACCACATGAGAGTGGTTATATTTGGAAAAAATACTTTTTATTCAGAAGATTATTTGTCCAACTTATTTTGAGTTAAAAAGTAGATATGGTCAGTAAATTGTATGCTGGTGAAAAGTTATTTGAAACCATACTAGAAAAAAATAAATATATAATGACAATTCCAAGGAAATACATCCAATACTTAAGATAAAATAACTAGCAAGATTTATAACATCCATGAAAAGATTTTCATAAATACCTGTTTTAAATACATCAGGGGAATTATATGAGGCTTTTTCCTACCTTTGCATTCCATTGGGAGGCATTCCTTAGTAAAAAGAGTGCTAATACTGTAAAAGAATTGTTGCTAGGATCCAAGCAAATGCAATCGTAAATGCTGGCAAAAAAAAAAAGTGTTTTTAAAAAAATCATAAAGTAGCTCTTACTTTACAGGGAAGATTTATAACAATTTATGACTTGGTATATGCTACCTTCATATGTTAGTATCACAAGCTTGAATTAAATAAGTTGAGTTAAATAACTTGATTATATATTAACAAATTTTTACATGATTTCAATAAAGCTCGTTGAAGCAAGGGGTTCCTTTTAAACATTAGCGAAATAAAGCAAACCCTTTAGTCGTTCGAGTGGCAATAATAAGAATAGTTTTGATACTTTTATTTTGTAAAATAATTAGCATTTGCATGCCACTATCACAGACATACACATATTTCTATAGGGAACATTTAATTTCCCTTATGTACTATGGTTGCTCTATTTGTTTTTTTTTGTTGTTGTTGTTGTTGTTTCAGAGACAGGGGTCTCACTCCATCGCCCACATTGGAGTACAGTGGTGCAATCACAGCTCACTACATCCCCAACCTCTAGGCTCAAGTGATCTTCCCACCTTAGCCTCCCAAGTAGCTGGGAACACAGGCATGCTGGTTGCTCTATTTCACTCACTAAAAAAGGAGAAAAAAAGCAAGCTGATGTCTAAGATAAAGTGATAACATTTTAAGTTATTCATACAAATTGTGAAGATATAAGTAGTTTCCTGTGATTAAATTTTACTGTGGGTTTATGAAGAGGAAAGAAAAAGCCCACGATCTTGATATGCTTGCTATTTTTGAGGTATAGTATGTATTTGGAAAGTAGTTAAAAAGAAAAAAAAAGCATAGGAGTTTTGGTTATCAACCAATATGGGAGCACTAATTTTGAATGGAAATGAAAGATTTGTATTATGAGAAAAAGAGTAGTATACATTTATCTATTTGTTTAAGATAAAAGCTATGTTCTGAACTCTAAATTATTTTACATGTTTTCTTAGGTGAATATAATCACCTACCAGATTTTACTAATTTGAAGTACTTGAGGCATTACCTAGTTTGGATGACTCAATGGTACCTCACATTCAAATATTTTCAAAATATTTTACAACCTATTTTAAAATAGAATATTCTTATGAGAGAGGCCATCATAATCTCACTTTTACTGGTTAAAAAATATACAGAAAGTTTACATTTAAAAACTTGCCCTGTATCTTTTCTTTTCTTTCTTTTTTTTTGAGATAGAGTCTCACTCCGTCACCAGGTGCCTGGAGTGCAGTGGCTCGACCTCGGCTCACTGCAACCTCCACCTTCTGGGTTCAAGCAATTTTCCTGCCTCAGCCTCCCGAGTAGTTGGGACTACAGGTGTGTGCCACGACGCCCAGCTAATTTTTTTGTATTTTTAGTAGAGACGGGGTTTCACCACGTTGGCCAGGATAGTCTCGATCTCTTGACTTCATGATCCTCCCGCCTTGGCCTCCCAAAGTGCTGGGATTACAGGCGTGAGCCAGTACCTTTTCTTTTCTATTAATTTTTCAAATCACAGTGCCAATTATAATTTAATTAATACAAAACCCAGCAGTTTTAAGGTCATGTTAAATGTTAGTTAACTCCTATTTAGCATCTTATTTAGAATGCAATATGCCAACTTTGGTACAGGAAAAAAATTCTTTTCTAATATAAGTTAAACATATTACTTAACATAAGCTGTTCTTTAACAGTAGTTTAAAAAGACAAAAACAAAAAACACCTTTCAAACAAACACTTTCCTAGCAAAATTTTTAAGTACATAATTCTAATGTAAGGCACTTCCATTCATTTTCAAATAAAATTTTCATAAAAAGTTTTTTGTTCTTTTGTAATCGTCTTCACAAATTACATAGTAATGTTACTTCAAGTAAAACTTTATTAAATAATGTATTTTGGCGTAAGTGCCATAATTTACCTCTGAAGAGAATGAAGGATAGGCATCAAGCTCTGTGCAAGCTAAACTTAAATGAAGGTACTCTTGGTCTGTTTTAGATTTATACTTGGCAGTGTTTTATCTTGTTGATCTTGTTCAAGGAGCTTAAAATCTTCCAAAGGAAGACTTCTTAAGGCAGTTGGTAAAATGTGTTCTGATGTACCTTTAGGTAATACATTATTTGCTTCTAAATTCTTTACCAAACATGTGGCTTTGATCCATCTTCGAGTAGCTCTGCGTTCCTTTTGTAGGCAAGTTTTCATTTTTCTTCTTAAGCTCGCTATTTCTTTTTCCAGTTTGATTATCCTCTTTTTTGCCTCCATAGGATTCCTAAAGGCATAACTGTGTTCAAGTAGTACTTGCTGACTACTAATGTTTGATTTTAAATTAGATGGTCCGGCTGGAGAACAACTGTTGTTTTTCTTCAAAAGATTCCTTGACTTGAGTTTCTGAGCCGAATAAAATTAGAGGGTTGAACATAAATTATGAAACATCACAAATAAGCAAATACTGTCCAGTTTTGGATAACACAGTATTTAAACTGCTTTTTAAAAAGTCCATTTTAAAACTTTAATAGGAAATGGCAGCAGCCATCTCATGTAATCCAAGATTAAGTTTTTTAACTGGTTGAATTGACTGTAGTCACCTATTTCTTTTTGTCCTATATCCAGAGAGATTGAAACACTGATTTGGAAATAGACAATGGACTTCCAAGGTTTCTTCCAAATTATTGACTATGATTCCATAGAGACTTTAAAGATCCTTTGCAATTTACTTACTAAGGTCAATTCAGAATATATGTAGATATTTTATTATTTATGATATTAATTTGATCCCCTTTTAATTAAACACCATTTTCTCAATTTGATGAATATTTTAGACCCAGGGTCCTACTTATTGAAAACTGAAGGATCTGTAGAAATATATTCTTAAGTATCAAGCTTCTAAATAGATTTACCTATTAATTCTTCATGGTTAGTTACATCTTCAAGGATTTAAAATCTGGCTAGGAATTTGCCCAGATCAGGAGACTTTTTTTTTCTTTTCTTTCTTTCATTCAAATGGTCATCAAGTCCTATTAATTCTACCTCCTAAACCTATCATGAATCCTCTCCTCTCTGTCATTCTTTTTTTTCTTTCTCTGTTCCACAATAAGACTGAACACTGTAATTCTTAATGTCACTACATATACTGGGCCCATATCATATCTGTTCTGACTATATTATTCATTATTGATCTCTCCACTTCATTTTGATCCTCATTAATCCACATTCTGCCATGAGAATAATTTTTCTAGAATATTTGACATTTCTATTCTGGCCAAATTATTCTTTGCCTATCCATTATCTAAAGGAAAAAAAAATTTTTACATGGCATACTGTACAATTTAGGATCGCACCACATTCTGCAATTTACCATCTTGCTTTATACTCCAGCAATACTAAGCCACTGAGAGTTTCCAGATTATATCATATCCTCATAAGTCTGTGTTTTTCATTCATTAAACTTTTATCGAAACACATACTATGAATTCCTGGGGACACTACACTGAACGAATAAGACAAATATCCTCATGAAACCTACAGTTAGTCCCTCTGCCTAGGGAATTGACAGGGACTCTTCTTTGATCGTTATATCTCCAGCACTAAGCTTAGATATCTCCAGCACTAAGCTTTCCATCCTGGCATAATGGAAAGTTAGTTGTATTGATTAAATAAATAAACGATCAAAATATAAAAAATAAAGTACATTTCAAATTCAGTAAGTATTTGAATATATACTATGTCCCAGGCACTGTTTGAGGTGCTGAAGATTCACAAGTGAAAAAGACAAAGTTCCTGCCCTCCTGGAACTTTTCTAACATCAGTGGTAATTTGCTTACCACAACCTCCTCCCATTCAAATAATAACTAATAATATTTAAAAGTTTAACTGTTACAAACAGGAGAAACAGTAGATTTCTTCTCTTAGAGGAAAACATGTTTGTCCTCCTTTTCAAAGCTAAACTATTTGTATTCATCGTACCCTTTCTTACCTTTGGTGACTGTCTTTCCCAGCTAGGTTTTCCTCTCTGGTCAGATCTTCCCTAACTAGATAAAACATTGTTTTAATTCATTCATCTTGTACCTTAAATCTTTCCTTTTTTATTTTACTTTACTTTTTCTTCATTCCTTCCTTTTAAATATCACTTTCTAACATTTATTTCCTACTCATCCCTCAACCCATTGGATTTTGTTCTCATTATGCAACTGTAATTGTTCTGTGCAAGGCCAAGACTGCTTTCCGCTATTTTCAACACCCAGGGCTTCAAAAGCCCACTGTAAATGCCCAAGCTCTCTGAAGTTTTCTGTTATGCTTGCCTCCCTCTGAACTTACATTCTTTGGTATAACTCTGGCTGTGTGCTCTTAAAGTAATTTGCACATGCCATTTGTATGTCATTTTAAAATCCGAGCAGAGTGATGCTGGAGCTTTCACTGCTCATATGATTTTTCAGTTTTACCAATGGTCTAATTACTAATAATAATTGGTAATAATGTAAAATTCCAATATAGTAAAACAATTTGGATTGGGGAAAGAATATTGAAGTCAGGAGACCCGAACTCTGATTCCAGCCTGCACTTTTACTGTACAAGAGGAAGGTCTGCAACTTTCTTGAGGCATATCACTATAAATGAATTTCAGTTAGAAACTGCATAAACAAAAGAAATGAGTTCTAAAAATTGTTTTTAAAAAAGGAGAGTAACATTACCTACCATAGACTTTATATGGGTACAAAAATCAAAAATGGTTGGAACAGCATCCATTTTAAGTCGTCGAGTTTGTCCTGTTAGGTCAAAACAGGAGGCTTCAAAGTGCTTTGAACAAAGAAAAGTGTGTTTTCCTGGCACAAAATTTTTGCGCCTAACCAGGCGAACCCATTCTTTTCTTCTTTTAGGATCCAAAGGAAACCTTAAAAAAAAAATAGGCAACTCAAATTCCAACTGTCATAATTCTGGTTTGCACCTAAACAATTAAAAGAAATTTAGAAGGTGATGATTAAAAATGTGTCCCATTTACATAAAAAAAATTTAAACTCACAATATCCAGACACTGGAACAGAAACCAATACATGGTAATGTTTTATAAGTTAAAAAAAATTAGTCAAAACCTGACTTGAGTGGTTTTATTTTTCAGGGTTTTTAAAAAGACACATGTCTTCCCAATTAGCCCTTAACCTGGGCAGTAAAATAAAGCATGACTAAACTGATTTAGATCAAGTTTAAGTAGAACCATTATAAGCAGGAATAATTTCACCATACTTTAATCTGCTGCTGATATATGTAGTCAAGAAAAATCAGATTATCTAAAGATTAAATTTTGTCAAGGAAACCCTAGGCAGAATCTGGTACTTCTATCTCTATGTTGCATCATTATGACACTTACCACATTGTTTTGTAATTTTTCCATTTTAGTTTCCAGTAACATAAAGATTACACATTTCGTGAGGACAGGTATCATTATTATCACATCCTGTCATGTATTTATCTTTGACACTTAGCATAATGCTTTGCAAACAGTAGGTATTCAACAAAATTTGCTAAATTAATACAAATACAGAATATTTAATAATATACTGTATTTTATGTAGTTAAACAGCAAATATTTTTAAAAAGTCAACTCTTCAATTAGTAGTGCAGCAGAAAGACTACTTACAAAAAGGCAAAATGCTTTGTAGCAATGTTTTTCCTTTCATATTTCAAATGTAAAACACAGTTGACCCTTTAACAACATGGGTTTTGAACTACATAGGTCCAATTATATGTGTATTTTTTCAGTAAATATACTGGAATTTGAAACAATTGGAAAAAACTTGCAGACAAACCATGTAGCCTGGAAATATAAAAAAAATAAGAAAAAGGTATGTTATGAATACATAAAATATATGGAGATACTAGTCTATTTTATCATTTACTACTACAAAATATACACAAATTTTAAAAAGTTAAAATTATAAAACATTCATGCAGAGACCATACATGGCATCGTTCAGTCCAGAAGAATGTAAACAAATGTAAAGATGCAGTAATAATAATTGCATAAAACTAACTGTAGCATATACTGTACTACTGTAACAATTTCATAGCCATCTTTTGTTGCTATTGTGCTGAGCTCAGTAAGTGCTGTGAGTACCCACCTAAAGTGCCGTGTGGTTCTAATTATCTCTGAGCAATTTGTCTCTCCAGTAAATTGTGTATCAGGGCAGAATGTGATCTCTAGTAGTTCTTGCATATTTTTCATTGTATTTAGTGTAATACCATAAGCCTCAAATAATACCCTGATACATATATACCCTGATACAAATACCCTGATACAAATAATACCCTGATACATATATATATGTATATATAGATATATATAGATATCTCTCTCTATATATATATACATATATAGAGAGAGAAAGAGGCATAGATTTAGGTCTGCAGCTGTGGTTGCTTGCCATTTCAAAATAAATAAATCCAGGACCATTGTAAAAAAAAAAAAAAAATTCATCCAGCTGTAGCAACAGCTGCAACCTGCTGGCACAGCTGCAAAAACCTTGCACTTTTTGTGAAATATCTATTCCATAGTGGAAATGCAGCTTTTATGTGAGTGCACAATTGCTGTAAGAAAGGCATACCCATATTCCAGGACTACAGGTAGTTTTTTTTTTTCTTTTTAAAAAGAAAATTTTAGAACAAAATCATATTAGAGTTTACATAGACCTGTAATATGATTCAAGAAAAAGTGAGGTTGTTATATGGTAAAACAAAAGAAAGGTGAATGATCTAAAGCTGCAGAATTTAATGCCATGAGAGGATGTTTGATGATTTTAGAAAAGAGGTTTGGCTTAAAAAATATCAAGATAACAGAGAAACAGCTTCTGCTGAGCAAGAGGCTGTGGATGAGTTCCCATATGCCATTAAGATCATTCAGGAGAAAGGATATCTGTCTGAACAGGTTTTTGATGCAGGCAAAAGTGCCCTTCCTTGAAAAAAGTGCCACAAAGGATATATGTTACTAAGAAAGAAAAGCAAACATCAGGATTTAGGCAAGAAGATATATATAGGCTAACTCTGTTTTGTACAAATGCAGTTAGGTTTATATCAGTTCTGCTTTTATCTATAAACTTGCTAAACAAGGAAAAATAAACACCAGCAGCCAGTCTTTTTGTTGTAAAATAAGAAGGCCTGGACAATGAGAACTCTTTTGTCTAGATTGGTTCCATTGAATTTAGGAAGTATGTTGTTAGTAAGGTACTGCCTTTTAAAGTTCTTTCCATTTTGGACAATTCCCCTGGACACCCAGATTCATGAGTCCAATGCAGAAAGTGTCAAAGTAGTCTACTTGTCCTCAAACTCAATGTCTTTAATTCAACTTCTAGATCAGAGGGTCACAAGTTTTAAGGATCATTACATATGGTATTCTATGGAAAGAACTGCCAACGCTATGGAAGAAAACCCTAACAGAGATAGAGAACATCATGAAAGTATAAAAGGATTGCGCCATTGAAAATTGTTACAGAAAAAGTGGTGAAAGACAACAAGCCCAAAACAATACATCCCTGCAAAATAAAGTATATGGGTATGCTGTGCATGACCTCACAGTCTTTATAACAGAGCTATAAGGGAAATCATGAAAGAAATTGTAGATATGGCAAAAAAGGTGGGCAATGACAGGTTTCAAGATATGGATCTTAAAGAACTTCAAGAGCTGATTTAAGAAACCACACTAGAGGAATTAACAGAAGACTGCTTGATGGAGGTGAGTGCTTCTGAACCACTGCCAGATGATGAGGAAGAAGATGTACAAGCAGCAGTGCCAGAAAACTGACATTAGAAAATCTGGCAGAAAGGTTCTGATTATTCAAGACTGCTTTTTACTTCTTTTATAACATGGACCCTTCTATAATAGGAACACTGAAATAAAAGCAAACAGGAAAGAAGGATTGGTACAATATAGAACCATTTTAGAGAAATGAAAAAGCAAGAGTAAAGCAGAAATTATTATGTATTTCCATAAAGTTAGACTGCGTGTGCCTTCCTTTCCTGCCTCCCTATCCAACTCTTTCACCTTTGCCATGCCTGAGGCATCAAACCAACCCTCCTCTTCTTCCTCCTCAGCCTACTCAATGTGAAGATGACAAGGAGGAAGACCTTTATAGTGATCCACTTCCACTTAATGAACAGTAAATATATTTCCTCTTCCTTAGGATTTTCTTTTCTTTTATCTGAGACAGAGTTTCACTCTTGTTGCCCAGGCTGGAGTGCAATGGCGCGATCTCGGCTCACTACAACCTCTGCCTCCCAGGTTCAAGCACTTCTCCTGCTTCGGCCTCCTGAGTAGCTGGGATTACTGGCATGAGCCACCATACCCAGCTAATTTTGTATTTTTAGTTATATAGAGATGGGGTTTCACCATGTTGGCCAGGCTGGCCTTGAACTCCTGACCTCAGGTGATCCACCCGCCTTGGCCTCCCAAAGTGTTGGGATTATAGGTGTGATCAGCTCTTGAATTTCTTTAAGATCCATGCCCAGCAGGATTTTCTTAATAACATTTTCTTTTCTCTGGCTTACTTTATTGTAAGAATACTGTATAGAACACAACATACAAAATATGTGTTGATTGTTTATGTTATTGGTAAGGCTATTAGCAGCTCAATTTTTTTTTTTTTTTTTTTTTTTTTTTTTGTAGAGATGGGGTTTCACCTTGTTGGCCAGGATGTTCTCGATCTCTTGACCTTGTGATCTGCCCGCCTCGGCCTCTCAAAGTGCTGGGATTACAGGTGTAAGCCACCGCACTAGGCTTACTACTTCAATTTTTGGGGAACCAAAAGTCATACTCTGGTTTTTGACTGTGTGGTGAGGAAGCTTCTGAGCCCCAAAACCCTGAATGTTCAAGAGTCAGCTGTATACTAATATGCATCCAGTGTGTACCTCTTAAGGAAGAGAAAAATATAAGGGGCTATCTCTAAAAATTCTACCGGTAACTTGGAAATATAAGAATCAACATTCATATGCAGTAAGTTTGTGTAAAACTCTTTAGTTTGACTACATTATCCTTTAAATATTATGAAATGACTAGTGTTCAAAAAGATCACAAAATACAAGTTAGAAGATTATGTGGTTCAGAAGCCCCCAAATGCAGCCTCAGTAGGTAACAGCTTTGGGTATTTCGCATCTACTAGGTTTGCTCACATTACCAGAAATAAGGAGCACAAAGAAATGAAATGTTCAGATTTAGTCAACACTCTCCCGTCTTCTGTCCCCATCCCCCTCAACCCTATATGTACGCTGATCTGAAGATACTAACATCTGTATGTCACTCTACAATTCACATACAGGTTTTTTCCTATAGAGAATTTCTTTTTGAGACGGAGTTTCGCTCTTGTTGCCTAGGCTGGAGTGCAGTGGCACGATCTCTGCTCACTGCAACCTCTGCCTCCCAGGTTCAACCGATTCTCCTCCCTCAGGTTCCCAAGTAGCTAGGATTGCAGGTGCCCACCACCACCACACCTGGCAATTTTTTTTTTTTGTATTTTTAGCAGAGACGTGGTTTCGCCATGTTGGCCAGGCTAGTCTCAAACTCTTGACCTCTGATGATCCACCTGACTTAGGCTCCCAAAGTGCTAGGATTACAGGCATGAGCCACTAAGCCCGGCTAGAAATAGAGATTTTCTGATAATCTATTTACTCTGCCTAGCCTCACCTCAGTAATAGAGCCAGTCTCTTATAATAAGCACTAGATGTTTTGGAAAATCACTCAGTAGTTTAAACAGTGCTATTTTGTGCGCATCTTCAATAATTAGTTGAATGCCTCTTACATTCCAGGCACTGTCCTAGGCACTGAAGACATAGTAGTAAACAAAACAGACATAGTACTTTTCTTCCATGAGTGTATACTGTAATGGGGAATGTAGGGAATCAAATAGCTGGATGTGATAGAACAGAGAAGCCACTGTCTCTGGACTCAAACCAGGGCACCCTTGCATAATATCTGGGTGACTTTAGGCAAGTTAACCTTTTTAGGTCTCCTTTTTTATCATCTATGAAGTGGGGATAAGAATAGGACCTAATGTGGTCATACAGATTAAATGAAAAAATGTGGGTAAATACCTAGCCCAGTGCACAGTACATGCTAAATACTAAATAAATGCCATTTATTACTATAATAAAAGTAACTACAAGTGTCCATGAGTCTTATAAAAGGGTAAGTACAGGGTTTTATGAAACCATAAAACAGGGAAGAGCTAGTCTAGTCAGAAGGCCTTAAAAATTATAGAGATCAGCTAGGGAAGTTAGGGTGTGACAGTAAAGAGTGTTAAGAATATCTTGGGAAAAAAAAGAAAGATTAAAAAAAAGAATATCTTGGGGACAGAGAATAGTGTTATAACATGAAACAATACTGGAGGGCCTTCTAAATCAGAGTAATTTTGAACCTTATCCAAAATGGCAATGATAAGTCATTAAAAGGCTAATTGTGAAAGCTGATTGTTAATAGAAAATTTGTGAGCTAGTTGTTAAACACAGCTATTATTAAAAATTAAATTATATAAATTTACAGTTAAATACATTAAAAGGAAAGGTAATAACCAAAACTCCCAAATTTCCTAGTGATTTTACTGTTACCTTTACTCTTAAGGTTATGCCTGTTGTGTATGTATGGTGGAAATACCATAGAATAGTATGAGACTTCACATCCTTTTCCAACTCCATGATCAGTGATGTCATATTGATGGCTTGAAACTAGACTTGGCAGTAATATTTATATCTTAGAAAGCAGGGAAACACTACAAATCAGGGCTTTCCCCCCTCCCTAGAGAACTATTTATTAAATTTAGCAACATACTACTAATTATAGAAGAGTGGCTAGCAGTGCATGGATGGAAGCAGTGAGCCAGTTAAGAGCCTATTGTAATAATCTAATTAAGAGGTAATGATGAGAAGTCAAGGGAGGAAGACTTTCAAATTTCCGGATTAATGGTGTCTTCATTCACTGAGAAACAGAGTACAGGAAGTGGGGGTATGTTTGGGGAAGGGCAGTTTGTCAATATAGATAATGAATCTGGGTAACTGGAAGGAGACCAGAGAAATACTGGGGAGACATTTGGCCTATAAGTCTGGAACTCATTAGAAGGAGATGGATTGGAGATACTGATTTGGGAGGCATCAACAAGTAGATGCTGAGACCACAGGAACAGCTGAAATTACTTTGATACGAATGTGAAGACCTGGGCTAAGGTGTAGAGAGAAGAGCAGCAGCCCAAAAGACAGCCCAAAAAAGTAAGAAGATAATCATAAAATTAGTGTTAAATAATTCAAAAGTAGAGAGTATTTCAAGGAGGAAATGATCATACATCATGAAAAATGAATGTAGAGAGACACAGAGGTCATGTTAGCAAGAGCAATTTCAGATTACTGGGGAAACTTTAGAGTGGGCTAAGAGGCAAGAAACATACAGTAAGTTTAAGCAAAATAACTTGCACATGGAGATATAGAAAGAAGTCTACTAACGGCTGGGTGCAATGGCCACGCCTGTAATTCCAGCACTTTGTGGGGCAGGAGCAGATGGGTCACAAGGTCAGGAGTTGGAGACCAGGCTGGCCAATATGGTGAAACCCCATCTCTACTAAAGAATACAAAAATTAGCTGGGCATGGTGGCACACCCCTGTAATCCCAGCTACTCGGGAGGCTAAGGCAGGAGAATAGCTGGAATCTAGGAGGTGGAGGTTGCAGTAAGATGAGATCTCACTACTGCACTCCAGCCTGGGCAACAAAGTGAGACTCCATCTCAAACAAACAAAAAAGAAGTCTACTAATATCTTAGTAGGAAAGGAGTGAATTAATTAAGCCTGGTTTGTATTTACAAAATAGGAATGTAATTTTATTATAATGAATACTAATTTAAGATCTAAATTTCTGAGGTTACACATGAAAATGTTAAGTTCATAGCAGGCAAATTTTATGCATGTTATTGTATCACCGTTCATACCTTTTTCATTTTATTTATTTATTTTTTTGAGACACGGTCTCACTGTATTGCCCAGGCTGGAGTACAGTGGCATGATCACGGTTCACTGCAGCCTCAATTTCCTTAGTTCGGGTAGTCTTCCCACCTCAGCCTCCAGAGTAGCTAGGATTAGTCATGCACCATGACACCCAGCTAATTTTGTGTATTTTTTTTGTAGAGACAAGGCTTCACCATGTTGCCTAGGCTGGTCTCAAACTCTTGAGCTCAAGTGATCAGCGTGCCCTGGCCTCCTGAAGTGCTGGGATTACAGGTGTGAGCCACCACGATGGGCTAATCATTGTTATTGGTGCCTGGACTCCCCTCTCATCTATCCAATGAAATTGCTAAATTCAGTAGTTTCTCCTCTAACATTTCTCAAATCTGTCTCCTCAACTCCATTTCTACTTTAATACCACGTGACTCTGAAAAATTGGGTAGACTTTCCTTGTTTTATTTACTACAGCTTCCTAACTAGTTTTTCTCTGTCAACTCTAACCTTACCGAATCCAATGCTGATTGTGCTAGCAACTGAGTACAGGGTTTAGTTTAGCTGACATTGCAGCAAGATTTCCCTTTGAAAGAAAAAAATAGGTAAATTAATATTCTGTAATAAGTTCCTTTCTCATCAAGTTCATCCCTGATGATGCTTGACCAGCACTTTCAGTAACCCCACGATTCTCCACACTGCAGCCAGAGGACTTTTTAAGATGCAAATCTAATCATGCCATTCTTCTTAAACCCTCCAGGACTTCTCAAGTACTCTTAGGATAAAACAGAAAATACTTAAGCAGCATACAGGACCAAATCTGTCATCGTCTCATTTGAAATGTCATATCCTTTGAGAAGTGTTCTTTGACTTTCCAAGACTAAGTTAGGTCTCTTAATGTTTATTTTGTAGCACTTAGTTATAATTATTTATGTCTTTCTCTACCATTAAATGTTAAACTCCAGGAGGGTTAGAACTTTCTGGATCCTTTGCACAATGTCAGGCAACTAGGAACTCCGTACATATGTGATGGATGAATGAATAAAGCACTATATATGCGTGAATTGGTTTAAAAACAGAAACATCACAAGGATTTTTTTTTAAGTGGCAGCTTTTAATAAAAGTACAGTTTATAATAGTGAGGTAGGGAAAAAGGTGAAGGATATAATTTCTACGTACCAACATATACGTTGTTAGGTATATAACACATATAAAGTCAGAACTAGTGTCATTTAACTTTTTAATGTGTCTTTTCTTCAGGCACATGGCAGGCACTTGCAGAGAAGGTAAACGTTTACCTAGTACCTGTTATTTTCTAGGCATAGTTCAAAATGCTTTTAAGAATTCTGGCTTGACAGAACTAAGGAATTTTGATTTTTCTTCCAGCAAACAAAAGAAAACCTAGGTTCTTTTTATTACTCTGTTCTAGTAATAACAAAAAGTTATCTTTTTCACTTTAATTAACATCGCTTAATTCCATGGCTATCAAAGATGACTCAATTCCTCCGCAGAATGACTTAGATTAGATCCGATTCATTAGATTAGAAATACAAATGCCTCCCGTGTCAATTCATCTAGTGAGAATTTCCTAATTTTAACGGGAACGCAACAGTCTTTTAAGGTGATTGCTGATTGAATTGGAAGATCTCTCTCCCCCTTACGGGGTCATTCTTGTCAAGACCCGGTCTAACATAGAAGTAAAAGTGAAAAATTACGATATCCTCTTGTTACTTTTTTACTAAGGGGTAATCACCAAACAGTACTTGGATTTCTTTTAGAAAATGAGTAAAGCATTCCCGAAAGCAGGATAAAATTGGACAGATTTGAGAAACACAAAGGACATATGATGCTTTCCTACTACCAGCTGGGAAAGTTATTAGAATTAGAATCCTCCTGTTCCTTCTACACAAGCGATACCGAGAATAGGAACTCCCGTCTCCGTCACCCCACTCCCTGCCCAGGTTACCTGTGGAAGCTGATGTTAATGTGCTTGTTGTAGGTAGTGGCACAGCCCGCCGCGGCGCAATTGGTCGGCATTTCCCTTTCCCACTCATTCAGCGCCCATAGGTCTCTACTGAGGCGCTGGCTGCTAACCTTCCTTCTGGCACAGGCTGGAAAATCGAGGCAGGCGTGCCTTAATCGGGAGAGCTTAGTCGTGAGAGCCCAGTGCGAAGAAGGGGTGTGTATGTGGGGGCGGAGGCGAGGGAGGGTCAGCCTTCCCTTTCTCTTTATTAATATGGCGGACCAAAGGCCACACAACTGGCCCTCCTGGAGCTCTAGTCGCCTTCGTTTGACTTCACCAACATGGCGGACACAACCTGTTCTTTTTCCCCGCCCCCAAGAGCGAGCAGGTGTACTGCGTTTTTTTGGCAGCGGTCCTCAGAGCAATTAAAGGAAGAGGTGTTTTCCCCTCCGATTATTATAAATAACGATAAAGAGTTTTACAATAAAACTCTCTCAAGGCTGCAATTAAGAGCAGCTCCGCTTACTTCTGCAGGCACCCAGCTGTACCAGGCCAGATCCTAAGGTGGGTGTGACCCGTAGACCGGAAAAGTAAAGCCGAAGAAAGACGAGAGACTACAAATCCCAGTGAATATCGCGTTGTTCTTATTATCGCGTGAATTGGGAGCTTTTGTTTCCTGCGTGTCGCAGGAAGTGACGTTTCGAGCACAGCCGCTACCTGAGCCCCTTTCTCGCGAGGAGGAAGAACCCCGACCGCTGAGGTGCAAGGGGGAGCCACGGAAGGGAACTGGGTTGCGACAGTCCGGTGAGAGAGAGCTGAGGTGCGGAGAAGTTGGGGAGACGAGGCCACTAGGTGTCCGAGTAGGGTAAGACCGCACCGACCCGGTCCGTTAGCAAAGAAGGGAAACGAGGCAATTGTCGGGCGGATCCCCGGACGGAGGGCTAAGGTTGTGTGGAAGACGCTGCTCCCCGGATGGCGACGGCAGATACTCCGGCCCCGGCCTCCAGTGGCCTCTCGCCGAAGGAAGAAGGGGAGCTTGAAGATGGGGAAATCAGTGACGACGATAATAACAGCCAGATACGGAGCCGGAGCAGCAGCAGCAGCAGTGGCGGCGGGCTGTTACCGTATCCGCGGCGAAGGCCTCCTCACTCGGCCCGGGGCGGTGGATCCGGCGGAGGCGGTGGCTCTTCCTCGTCATCGTCCTCTTCTCAGCAGCAGCTGAGGAATTTCTCACGCTCGCGGCACGCGTCTGAGCGGGGCCACCTCAGGGGACCCAGCAGCTACCGACCCAAAGAACCATTCCGGTCTCATCCGCCCTCTGTGCGGATGCCTTCGAGCTCACTGTCCGAAAGCAGCCCCCGGCCGTCTTTCTGGGAGCGGAGCCACCTCGCTTTGGACCGTTTCCGCTTTCGAGGCAGGCCTTACCGGGGTGGGAGTCGCTGGAGTCGGGGGCGAGGAGTGGGTGAGCGAGGAGGCAAGCCGGGGTGCAGACCTCCTCTGGGAGGAGGAGCAGGATCCGGATTCAGTAGCAGTCAGAGCTGGCGAGAGCCCTCTCCACCTCGGAAGAGCTGTATCCTTAACGTGGCGGTCGGCGTTGGGTGTGTCACTAAAGTTCCCTTTCGCGTCATTACTAGGTCTGTGAGACGAGCGTAACTTTGAACCATCAGAACCGCTTATTTCTCCCTGAGTCAGTATACTGAAAGTAAGTAGTTCTTTCGTAATTCCCCATGTGTCACACGTTAGCGTTGTTCCTAAGATTCCTTCATTGGGTATACTGCTTTTTAACATTAACTTGCTATGGATTGGGTTAAGCTAATGAAATCTAAGAGAATTAAGTCAGATTTGTAAAAATACCTTAGAAGCTCAAGTTTCATTAGCATTTGTAATTTTGCTGTTACAGAAATTTTGTATTTTATGTGAAGTTAACTTAGCTTATTAGATGGAGAAAAAAATCGTAACAGTTTGAGGAATACTGTTTATCATATTGCAGTTTGACACTGAAAATTGTAAAGTTAATTCTGCACTCTTTTTGTGATTCTAATACCTTAGAAGCCTAAGTTTCATTAGCATTTGTATTTTTGCTGATAGAGAAACTTTGTATTTTATGTCAAGCTGGCTTAGGTTATTAGATGGAGAAAAAATATTCGTAAACAGTTTGAGGAATACTGTTGCAGTTTGACATGTAAATTGTAAAGTTTCATTCCGTACAGTCCTGCACTATTTTTGTGATTCTTTTTTTATCTTGATTTATTCCGGTTGCTGCCTTTTAAAGTGGGGGTGGTGGTGGGGGGTGGGAACTGGTGTCTTTACCAAGTCTGTTAATTCAGAACTTTTCGATTTATTTGATCTTTTTGGAACACTTTACCTCCTTAACGTGTCTATTCTGTGTTCACTTTTGCACATTGTATAACTCTTCTTGCTGACTAAATGAGGGCCAGAGAAAGAAAGATCAACTTATCAGCATTTTTATTTTAATACGTTAGACTGGAGGAATGTGTATGGGATGGTGGAGATTACGGACAAGTTGAGAATGGAAATAGTAAAGTACCAGATTTTTGCTACTTCTAACCTTATTCTCAGTTGTTTTTTTTTTTTTTGAGACGGAGTTTCGCTCTTGTTACCCAGGCTGGAGTGCAATGGCGCGATCTCGGCTCACCGCAACCTCCGCCTCCTGGGTTCAGGCAATTCTCCTGCCTCAGCCTCCTCAGTAGCTGGGATTACAGGCACGTGCCACCATGCCCAGCTAATTTTTTGTATTTTTAGTAGAGACGGGGTTTCACCATGTTGACCAGGATGGTCTCGATCTCCTGACCTCGCGATCCACCCGCCTCGGCCTCCCAAAGTGCTGGGATTACAGGCTTGAGCTACCGCGCCCGGCCGGTTTTTTTTTTTTTTTTTAAAGATTACTGAGTTTACTCAGGATTTCTAGAGAGGAATCAGTCATCCGCTGGTTTCCTGTTTTGTAATGGGTTTGTATAATACTATCTTGACTTATTCTGTAATCATTGCAAAAATTGTTTAAAGACTTCATTACTGGTTGTAATTCTCATAGTGTAATGGTTTTTAATTTCGTCATTATATATGAAACAAGTAGTGACACTTATTTGGGAGAAAATCAGAATTACTCTTATAGACCGCTTAGGACTAGAATAGGTCTTTCTCAAATGTCATGATGTAAAGGGGGCAGGGAATGTACATTTGGGTAGGAAACAGCAGCTTCTGATGCTAGTCTTCTGAAAAATTTACTTCTGCAACCAAAAGTTGGGTTAGGAGCGTTTCAGAATTGTTTCAGAGAAAACCCGGTAGTGGCCGGGTGTGGTGTCTTATGCCTGTAATCCCAACACTTTGAGAGACCGAGGCGGCAGATCACTTGAGGTCAGGAGTTCGAGACCAACCTGGCCAACATGGTGAAACCCCATCTCTACTAAAAATACAAAAATTGGCCAGGCGTGGTGTTGGGCGCTGTATTTCCAGCTACCCAGGAGGCTGAGGTAGAAGAATTGCTTGAGCTCAGGAGGCAGATTTGCAGTGAGCAGAGATTGCACCACTGCACTCCAGCCTGGGCGGTAAAGGGGGACTCCGTTTCAAAAAAAAAGAGAAAATCATATAAATACTTAACTTTTTAAAAGACAAAGGCAGCAGATGTGGCTGGGTGTGGTGGCTCACGCCTGTAATCCCAATACTTTGGGAGGCTGAGGCGGGTGGATCACGAGGTCAGGAGTTCAAGATCCACCTGGCCAATATGGTGAAAACCTGTCTGTACTAAAAATACAGAAATTAGCCAGGCATGGTGACGTGCCTGTAGCTACTCAGGAGGCTGAGGCAGGAGCATCACTTGAATCCGGGGGTGGGGAGTGGTTTGCAGTGAGCAGAGATTGCCCTACTACGCTCCATCCTGGGCAACAGAACAAGGCACTGTCTCAAACACACACACACACACACACACACACACACACACACACCCAAGAAGGTTAGAAAACCTTTGCCCAGGATGTTTCTTAATCCATGGATTTGTGGTCTATATTGAATCCAAAAGCAGAAAGTCTATTGAAGCATATATGTGTATATGGTTTTAAAATTTTTTTTATTAAATTTTTTTTTGGAGAAACGAGGTCTTGCTATTTTTGCCCAAGCTGGTCTCAAACTTGTAGCCTTAAGAGATCCTCTTCCATGGAGTCCCAAAGCGCTGGGATTTATAGGCAGGAGCTACTGGTCTGTATGTGTTTTTTAAAGGTATAAAGATGAAACTTGTAGTTTGTATTAGGGAAACAAATGAAAATAAGTAGTTTCAGTTTAGTATAAAAAGTTGAAATTGAGGTATGTATATAATTAGTCCTATGGAAGCTCAAAGCTTTTTCTTAAAATCCTTATTCTATATTAGAAAAGGGGTAAGTGAGTGGGTTTGCTTGCTTTTTGATTTTCTTTAGCCTTAAAGGAGATTAGTCAGTTATGGTTGTAACTCAATTGCTTTCCCTTCTTTTTCTATTTAGCATATTTGTTAGTATATTGAATCATTTCCCTTTGCAGATATTTCCAAGGTCTTTAGTCTTTTTTTTTTTTTAACTGCAGTTGTGCCTTTAAATGGCTCCAGTGAAAAGTAAGGTGTAATGTAGATAATTACAAAATTTATGCACGAAGAGTACATAAGAGGGGAAGAGGAAGTGAGAAACTCAGGCTTCACAGAGGTGACATTTGAATTGGGGTTAAGTTGAACAGACAAACTTACACACAAAGCTATGGAAAAATTGTGATGAGCCCGGGAAAAAAAGTTTGGAAAGGAAAGCACGGGTCATTTATATTTATTCTTAGGATTTTGGACTTTTTTTTAAGTGAAATTTAAACAAGGGGTGTGATCTTATATTTGTGTTCTAGAAAGATTACTCTGGCAGCAGACATATGAAAGATTTCTTTTAGGAGATAGAGAAATACCTTATGACCAAGATAAACTCTCCTGTGTTAGGTCAAACTGTGGAGGTGCATTAGAATGCTCAAAATGAAAAGAGAAGGGGCTAAGTAGTGCTCCCTGAAGAGCACCATTATTTAACAAGTTGGGGAGAAAGGACTCAGTGGCGACTTAAAAGACAAAAAATAAATAGGGAAACAAATGGCGAGGGGGAGTTACAGAAGCCAAGAGA